TTCGGATGACAGAGATTTCCAATACTCACCCCTAAAAGGGACCTGGAGCACCAGGCACCGACCTTCAGATGAGTATCAAATCACCTTTAAATGGAACTAGGTTCTGCCGAATATTAGTTGTATGTTACAAACTACCCAGCTGGGGGCAGACAAAACAAACAGATGAGTTTCTGAATGCTACCAAAGGAATCCTGCCTTTCTTTGTATGTCATTACATTAATAAGACAGAAAGCTTTTCAACACATGATCAGATTCAGTCTGCTCAAAAGCTCCCAAGACTGAATGCTATCACACGCTCCCTTTCCAATGATCCCATCTGCAACCACAATGGTTGTCGCTTGGGCAGGAGGAGTGGGTGTTGGAGGCACATGTATTTCTTAGGATGGCATGAAATGTTAGGCTAAATATTCTGAGAAATGTATAGATGTACTAACAAGACTCTCAAGTAAGCCCCTCCCCATTGCAGCACATTGCAAGGGGCAGTGCAGTTAACAATCGGTACTTTTGTCTTCTCCTTAAGAGAGTTCTCGCTATTCAAGGGAGCACAATGAATTCACATACTCGGCTGGTGCGCTATTTTCTTAATCTACCAGACAACTAAAAAAAATCCAGGCTCTATGGCCGACCCAAATACTCGGGCATGTGCAAGAGATCAGAAACCTCTCGGGCTGGGCTCACGCTCCCAGCACCCGAGAAGGTCTGGCCTGACCACTACTCATTCAGTTCTCTCAGCACTGTCAAAATTCCTGATGTCCCTTTTTCTCCTGTGAGAGTGTCCACCAAATGGAAAAACAAAAAGTTATTCTGAACAAAGAGCCGAATACGTGCTGGGCCAAGAACTCATTTATATCCATCTCTTCTATCCATCTGTACATTTTGGTGTTGATAAAGAGTACTGAATTTCAGACGGACTTCCAGAAAAACCAACAAATACGTCAACGGTAGTGTTCCTTAGAGACAATGATGGTTGAGTTTTGTCTCACTTGCAAAGTAAAGGGCCTATTCTCAGGAAGAACCAGTCCATGGAGAGAGACATCATGTGGGGAGAGGTAGAGGGTCAAGGAGAGAGAGGAAGTCCCTCAAGAAGAAGGAATGACACAGCGACTTCCACAATGGACTTGAGCATGACAGAGATCATGAGGTTGGTACCAGACAGGACAAGGAGCAGATCTATTGTTCACAGAGTTGTCATGATGGCACCTAACAACAACAACTTCTTTCCCTGATGGAGCCAACATCCATGGAACCCTCTTTGGAAGTGTGAAAGGGGAGAGGGTCCCACAAAGTTTGAAAGAGAAGCCACGACCCTTGCTAAACCTCCTAGTTACCAATCAATGGGTTTAGTCAGTTCCAAATGACGCTGGGGTGGTGTGTTCACTTTGAAAAAGCTCTCAATGTAATTCTTGGACAGATTCATATACCACCTCTTCCAGGAAGCCTTTGTTCTAGCTCCCTGGGCAGAGGTTCTCTGTCCCCCTCTAGAGTGTCTCTAAGCGTTGTACAATCTTTTTTGCCTTAGCATTTACTAAATTGTTTCTCTACCTCCTATTAGTCTCTCTTTCTCCTCATCTGCACTGGAGAACAGATACTGTCTTTGTATTTTTCTGTCCCCAGCACATATTCCAGAACTTAACAGATGCTCAATCAATTTTTGCTGAACTGAATAAAGCAAGAGACATATGTGTATTATTCACTCCAGTCAAATATGTAAGAGATTTCCTGAGTCAATGGCTTTGGTTAATTCCTCAGATGGTTCAGGAAAAGAGTGAATTTAAGGAAAATAAATGAATAAATAATGGACAAGAGATAGAGGTCTTGGGGAGCAGGGGGATGGTCTCATGTTCTCTTCCCAGAAAGGCAAAAACTCTCACAAATGTTTCTCACATTTGTGTCCAGACTGCTGTGGGGGTTTATTCTTATGATATATATGTACAAATTCTGTAATACTCTTCTCTTCAAGATATGGAGCTTAATTTCCTTCGAGTATAGACCAGGGAGCTCCGGTGATGTCATCTGCAGGAAGTTGCACTGCTAACCCAAAGGTCTCACCTGTCTCTGGAAAAAGATGAAGAATCTCCTCCCATGTGATTTACAGCCTCAGAAACACACTGGAGGGTGAACAAGGAGTTGACTCTGACTTGACGGCAATGTGTTGCATTACTGAGTTGAGTATAGACTTAGAAGGCCTGGTGGTGTAGTAGGTGAAGTGTTGTACTGCCAATGGAAATGGCAGTTTGAAGCCACCAGCAGCTCTGTGAGAGAAGGATGAGGCAGGATCTGCCCATAAGGCCCAAGAGCCTCTGAACCCCCAGTGGAGGGCTGACAAGAGTCCAAACTGACTTCACAGCAATGTCTATTTTGAGGATTATAGTGACTCACGTTGGTTGAAAAGAATATGATAACAGTGATAGTGTGTCACTTCTAAAACTAGACCATATAACTAGACCTGGTGTTTTTCCACTTGGCATCGCATCTCTTCCCTTGGATCACCTTTTCTGTGGAAATAACCTGGTAAGGACATTCTGTTTATTTCTAAACTGTAAAGACATTGAAGCAAATCAAAGAAGAGGTTCAAATGGCAAGAATCTGAGGATTCCATCCAACCATCAGCTCTAATTTGCTCAAAGTATAAGAGAATCCACTGAGAAGTGGATCTTCCGGCCTCAGTCAAGTCTTCAGATGACTGCAGCCCAATTCAATATCCTGAGCCAAATTTAATCGGCAACTTGGAGAAGCATCCAGGTAAGGCACAGTTTTTGAACAGAGATGGTGAGATAATCAATGGTTGTTGCTTTTAAGAATTTCGTTTTCGTGTGATTTTTATGTAAAATTAGACAACTATTAGATACCTCTGCAGAGTGGTTAAGAATTCAGGTGCTAAAATGAGAGAAGCTGACACTTTGGGTCCACTCCATGAGAGAAAAAGACTCACTGATTCGTTCCCATAGAGAGTCCAGTAATGAAACTCTATGGAGCAATTCTACTCTTTATGAGGACCCTTGGAGTCATTCTGAAAAGGTATCGAGGAACCCACAGAACTTTTACAAATGTGAGATTTAGTAGTTCCTCAGGAGAAACATCAACAATCTGCTCCCACATGGTTTACAGCCTTGGAAACACACTGGAGAGTCAGCGAGGAGTTGATTCAGCCTTGATGGCAATGCACTGGATTACAGAGGCAAGTGCAGACTTAGAAGTCCTGGGGGTATAGATTTTGAGCAAGGATGACAGAAGTGGATGCCTCTGGGTTGTGGTGCTGGTGGAGAGCACTAAACATACTACGGACTGCCAAGAGAACAAACAAGTTTGCCCTGGAATGGATGAAACCAATCTACTCTTTGGAAGCTCTGTCTCACATATTTTGGGCATGTGGTCAGGAAGGACCAATCCTTGGATAAGGACATCATACTTGGAAGGTTGGAGGAACAGCACAAGAGAGGAAGACATTAGAGGAGACGGATTGACACAGGAACTGGGGTGATGGGGGACAGTGTGTCAGAGACAGGCTAAGGATAGAGCAGGGATCAGAGTTATTGTACTTTGACTTGTAGTGTAGTTAATGGCACATAACAACATCTCTGTATTTTATCATATAAAACTTTGAAATACCATTCTTAGACACCTATCATCAAATGGTGAAGCTGAACACTATGACATTGATGTGTCAAATGTGAGAATGGTCACCCACGGTGGACAGTGTTTGGTGGAGCTCCCCAATTAAAAGAAGCTTGGAAGCAGGAGTGGCATCCACTTCCACAATAGCTTCCTTCTGGAAACCCTATGAACCTGGAGAAAGGACAAAAGTTATACAAGTGTCCAGGCCTATCGTTCATAGAGTTGCTATGAGTCACCTACGACTTGATGGCACTTAACAACAACAACAACAATCATCAAATAATATTAATGGACTATATTAGTGCATATTGGAGATGCTACATAATTTCTTATTTTTCCAACAATGTTCTTCAAGCACCTCTGGAAGAAGAGTTCATGTCTGGCTGTTCTTCAGCCCCCGGTAGGGTTGGCTGCATGTATTTATGAGAATTACAAGTCTCTCAGAGTTGTGTTGGGTCATCTATTCAAATTATATCCCTATTCATAGCCAAGAAATTAGATTAGGGGTGGAGAAAGACAGTGAAGGGAATAAGAAATGAATCAGTCATTTAGCTCATTACTTGTTATCTTTAAATTTATCAATTTTTTTTTCAAAAAGATTGTCTAGTGTTGTAAACCAAGGACATAGAAGAGACAGGGACACCAGGACTGAGAAAAAAACAGAGAGTAAGGCAGAGGGCGAACAGCTCAGAGACTGAAGGGCCAAACCACTAAAGTCACAGAGCAAATCACAAAGAGAATTCTATGCAAATGAAGCCAGGCTCTTTCTATTGACAACCTTATGCTTGTATCAGGAAGGAGGGGTTTGTAAATACAATCTAAGAATTGAAATTGGTCTGATACCTGTGATCTGTCTCAGGAGGAATTCCAGCTTGTATTTGTGCCTCCCTTAATTCCTGGTTAGGCATTTGGTTTAACATTAGGCTTCCCAAAATCCAGCATGTACTGGGGTGTGTGGTTGTGTGTGTGTGAATTGGTTGTGTGTGTGTGAGTTTATTTGTGCACACATTAAAATGTATTTCACCAGCTTCTTTCTGGTGAACTCAACACTTCCTTAGCAATGGGAGAAGCCGTATATCAAGTAAGGCAATTGAAAAACCATACAGGAAATGTTTCATTTACCCGAGAAAACATCTTGAATGGAGAAATCCATTCTTTCTATCTTCTGTTGCTGCCCTAGATATCTACACTTGGCACAAGTGATTTTAATATATTTTTTCTTTTACCATTGACAGATGACAGAATTTAATTAATCGAACACTACTCAGAAACTAAATGGCATGTGTTTAAGAAGCCACGTACCAATGAGTTTTGACCCTAAGACAAAATTACTAATTGTATGTTATAATTGAGAAAGAGGGGGCGAAAAACAAAACTTCTCTCACCTTCTTCGGCTGAATAAGGTTTCCTCATGTTCTACATGAGCGACTTTTAATACTTTCTTGTCGATAAACAGACCCTCAGGATAATAAGCAGATCTATACTGGCGTTGCTGAGAATGAGCACATAACTTGCCAATCTGAAAAAAAGAAATGTCATATCATTATATGATACTTTCACAGATACGATAGTAGAAACAAATTCTGAAATGCACTTCAATTTCTTCCCCCAATTTCTTTTTAAAGAGCAGAACGAAGCTATTACAGAAGGTGATTTTCTTCTTCTTCTTCTTTTAATCAAAGGTGATAGGCTTTTCAGGCAAAGTATTCTGAAACCACTGAGGTGGGGGAAGGGAATCCAACTCTGAACATAGCCTCATCAGAGTTCTAACACAAAAGACGCTCTTTTATATAGTGAAGGATACATCTGAGACCACTTTCTGCACAGACCTCATGCTATTGACACCTTTCAATAGCACCTGGTGTGTATGAGGAACTTCATAAAAGAGAATCGAAAGTTTGGAAGAACTGGTAAATTTGGGGATGTGAAAAGTGTGAAGAGGAGTCTGATAATAAAGACCCCAGTTAACTGTGCAGACAGCACCCTCTAGTCTTATGAGTATTTATGTTATAAAGGTTAATTTCAAAAAACTCATTGTGTCCACTGACCATTTCCCATTCCTTTATTCCCTCACCCCTGCTCCCAACCTCTGAAAGGAGAGGGAGGGAGGAAAATGTGTATTAATGGATGAATGAAAGCTAATCTTTCTGCAAATGCTCACTAAAATAATAATAATTAAAAAAAACCCTACATTGGGGTGGGGGTAAGACTGAGAAAAACTGGATAAATTATGTTTACTGCATTGAAGCCGATGAGGGAGAGAATAGTTTAAAATTAATATATTTTAGGGCATTATGATTATCATAAGAGTCCAGAATGAGGGTTGCAGAGTGGAGTATACTTGGGGTGGGAGTGGGGAGGTGCGGGGTGGGGGGGATTGTGTACCAATGAAGGAGATTTTCTTTCCCTTTTCAAGGAGAGGAGCGACCTGGGGGTGGGGGTGAATGGGTGGGGAGAAAAGTGCAACAATGAATGAATGGAATTCCAAAATCTCTGTAGATGTTCATTGAAATTAATAATAATAATTTTAAAAAGTAATAAAATTTAAAAAATCCAATCTTTCTGTAAACATTCACTAAAATCACAATTGAAAAAACCAAAAACCCCCAACCAACTCAGTGTGGTCAGGTTAACAGCTATGTATAGCTGAGCTTCCACTGGGCTTCTCAGGCTGTAAATCATATCAGAGGAGACTGTTCATCTTTTCCCCCAGTTGTCCTTGGTGGAGTGGAACTGTCTAGTGAGAGGGCTGCCACTTTTGGGGTAGCAGTACAACTCTTTACAGACTATACCACCAGAGTTCCCTCAGATTGCATCTAGGGTGTTTGGGGGGGGGGAACATCAATGTAGTTGTTCATCAGGCTTTTCTTAAAAACACAGAAGGGGAAAACTGGCAAGTCAACAAGCTAATAGGCAAAGTCATCATCAGTTTGCTGGTTTAACTGATTTTTCTGCTTGAATCATTTTTTAAATGTTCTTATTCTTTTTTCTTTTCAGACAAAAGTCTTAATGCAGACCCATAAAATATACATGCATTTATTGTCGACTTGGAACTGACTCATAAGTGGGTTTTCAGAGGCTGTAAATCCCTTGAGAGGAGACTGTCCATCTGTTTCCAGTGGAGCATCTGGTGGATCCAACTCAGCTGCTTTGGGATGGAAGCACAACTCTCTAACCACCAAAATATGTCTCCTTAGGCCAGACATTACTCTGGATATTATAATTCTCATTTTATAGATGGGGAAATAAGGAGGTTTACCTGACCCAGGATTTGAACTCATTTGACTGACTCTGAATTCATTCATCTGACTTCAAACTTAAGCAGTGTACCTCCCTAGAAGCCAACGCTGGATTCCCACTTATGTACAGTCCTCATTTACCAAGGAAAGAAAAAAAAAATCCTGAATCTAAGAAACAGAGAAAGCTCTGTGGTAGCATAGTCCAAAGGGTGTTCTGCTGCTAACCCAAAGACAACGCCCCTTTGATGGTTTGGCTAAAGGTGGATAATCTCTTCCCAAGCAAGAGATTTACAATCTTGGCAACCGACTGGAGGGTCAGCTCTGCATTGGTTCTGATTCCACAGCAATGATACAAGCCAAGCTGAAGAAATAGAGCCATTGTGACTATGTAGAGTCTAATAGGCAAATAGCCTAGGCTTGTTGCCATCCAGCCTCTTTCTGATTCAAGGCGACCCTTTAGGACAGAATAAAACTGCCCCATCGCACTTCTAAGGCTGTAATCTTTACTGAAGCCAACTGACACATCTAATCGAACCAAGGACTTAACCGCTGGGCCACCAGGGTTCCTTTATGGAATCTAAAGTCTGGGAAAAACATTAGAATTACCGTGTAATCACAGGGCTGTAGCTTTGTCCTTCTGTATATACACAGAATTTAGACAGGACTTTGAATGCTACTAGACATTTAATAAACGTGAATTAGTTGATGTAAATGGAAAGAACCTCCTAGAATGAGGTCCAGTATTAAACTTGATCAACAGACCATAGGCACTATGCAGTAAACCTAGCAGCTATCTATGAACGCATAACTTGGTCAGTGGCAGTACTGTCACCATAGGCTTTAGCTGAGGCAGGATTATTGCTAACTAAAACAGATAAATGTCATTTACCATGCACAGTTTTAGAAGGCTTTTCATACAAACTCATTCTCAGTTTGGAGGGACTAAATAATCTTAGGATCATCTTCATTTAGAATCCTACACTTTGCTATGAACAAGCTCTTCCTAAGGGTTTCTCTTAATGGCAACAAGACAAAAGCAGAAAACACTTTAAAATTTGGCTTTGGAATGAATGATAGTGAATTTTTAAGAGGTGCTTATATACTACCAGGGAGTTCTGATGGCCCAGTGGGTAAAGTATTGAGGTACCCACCCAAAGCCAGACGGTTCAAATCCACCAGCTGCTCAGCAAGAGAAAGATGGGCAATCTCTTCCAGGTGATTTAGAGCCTCTGAAAAGTCACTGGAAGGTCATCTATGAGTCAACTGCAACTCAAGGGCACAGAGTTTGAGATTTTCTGTGTTGCTATTTGTGACTTACTGGTAAGAAGCTTCACTGGAATCTCAAAGGCACACTGTTCGAATCCACCAGCTGCTCTGTGGGAAAAGGATGGGCAATCTCCTCTCATGTGATTTACTGCCTCTGAAAACCTGCTGGAGGCTCTGCTATGGGTGTTGGTCTCAACTCCAGGGTACACAATAACAACAACTTGACTTGAGCTGATATTTAACTTCATTCAAATTAATCAGCTGCATTCTCAACATGGACTCCAAGTGGAAGGCTGATGGGGGTAATTAGACAGACCTGGGGAGTCAGGGCTCACTCACTTCAAAATGAATAGTACAGACACAAATAACTGAGAGCAGCTCATACATCATAAAGTCCTAAACTGAGGTGTAGAGACATCCATGTATTTCCATTGTTGAACTACAGGTGAGACTTCCGAGAACAAAACCTTGACATTTCCCTCATAAATACCTATCTATTATCCAATCAATATACCAAGAATCTGATTCACCAGGATCAAAGTATGTTTACTTAGCACAAACTGGTCCAAATCCTGCACAGAAATCCCGGTCTTTCATATGGCCTTCACAACCACTTCTCACTTTGAAGGCCACAGTGATTCTAATCAAAACCAACCTCACTATCGCTGAGGCAATTCTGACTCATACAATCATCCATCAGTTTTTTGAGGCACTAATTGTGTTAATACTAACTGGGCCACAGCAAGACCTTAAAGCTTGTAAATCCCTTGCCTCACCCTTGACCTTGCTGCAAAAGGGTGCTGCTGTTGTTGTTATGTGCTACTGCGTCATGCTGACTCATAGCTGATCTTTCAGCGGGCTTTTGGAAGTTACAAATGGCAAGGGAGGAGATTGCCCATTTTTCTATGGAATTGAACCACCAGAGGTGTCACCATTGCGTTAGCAGTGCAACTCCTTACACACTACGTCATTAGGGCTCCCCGAGGCCAAAGGTGTTAGGTGCCATCAAGAGGACTACTACTCACAGCGACCGTATCAAGAACAGGTCTGCACCTTGTTCCGTCCTGTGCCAACCTCACAACTCCTACCATCCTCTAGACCGTTGTTATTGTCACTGTGTCGACTCATTTCAAATGAGAGCATAACCAGTCTGCAACCTGACATTTGGACGTGGCACTATCAAGCCATTCTCAAAGCCATTTGGAAGGTATTGGAGCAGACGATGGTGACCTGTGATCAGTCCTATGCCCGTTTCTAAAATGTGTCACCTCTCACCAGACAGGCTGCATTGTCTTCCCGAAACTCTACCATGAAGCAAATTCTCTGAGATAAAGCACTTGATAAGTGCATTCCCTATTTGTGTCCTGCTCCCCACAACATTTGCCTCAACACTGTAAAAACTGTAGGTTATGTTAAGCTTATTTAGAAAAAGAGGCACCAAAGAGATGAAGTGTTTACCAAGGGACGAAACGTTTACGAAGGGATGAAGCGTTTACCAAGGGATGAAGTGTTTACCAAAGAACGAAGCACTTACCAAGGGACAAAGCGTTCACATGGAAGAAGCCCTTTTAGCTACACACCTTCCACTCTGCGGGGAGGCCTGGTGCTTAGACTTCAGCTACACTTGCTGAAGAAACCAGCCTCCCAAGTGGCCATTCAGAAATCAGTATCTGGCCCGGGAGCATCTGGCTCTTAAAATAAGAAGTGCAATCCAATTCTTCTCACCGACAAACATATCTAGTCAAGGATGCTGCTATCTTTAAATATGGTTAGTTGGAGTAGTGAGCGTCTTTCTCAACAGGTCTAGAATATAAAAGTACTTCGAGTCTCCACAAACTGTGCTTCCTAATAGTACCACAGAACCTGTGGCAGGAAAAGCATTATTTGCCTGAAGACTTAAAACCCAAGAAGGAGGCAGGGCCAGGAGGTGGTTCCAGTAGCTTCTGTGCCATTCTTTTCTAGGCAGGACTCAAAAGGGTTCACTGGCTTTGCACAAACATAAGGAGAAGCCAGT